CTTAATTTAAAATTAAATTAAAATGCAGAGCCCCCCGGACCGGTGGCCAGGACCCGGGCAGTGTGAATGCCACTGAAAATCAGCTTGCGTGCCGCCTTCGGCACGTGTGCCATAGGTTGCCTACCCCTGCTTTAGCCCCTGCTTAAATCACAAGTCATTAATATTCACACACCCCACTCTTGAGCAAATTATTTTTTTTTTAATTGTCTTTTACCTTGAACCCACCCACCTGTCTTGTACTCTGTGTATTGTTTCCCTTCACTGTTAGTGATCGGGATATTTGTGTGTTCTTTGTAATTTGCCCTCTGCCTGATTAATTTAGAGAAGTCACAGTAAGTGTTTGCAACATCATAACTGTTTTGATTATGCTGAATTATTTGAAAAATGGCAAGGAGCTTTATCTTGGAATGAGTTGGATAGTAGGAGTGGAGATTCAAATATAGCAACTATTCTCTTCTTAGGCATAGCTAACGCTTGGCCTGTGACATCAGAATGATAGGTTGTTGGTGTGTTGGCCAGGACTTTGAGGTATTCTCCTTGATGTTTAAAGATCCAAAGGCACTTTTTTGTTAACATCCACCTGGATAGCCCTTAAAAATGAGCAGAAAAGACTTCTGTAAAGTATCATCCTTTAGAAGAGCTCCTTCCAACAGCAAAGCAATATGCTCTCTGCCCAAAGGGTGAAGCTTCATTTATAACGAAGCACAAGTGAAGTCTCAGCTTTCTTCACTGAATTCCTATGAACTTGAACTGAGAGCAGAGCATAATTCTGGACATGAGGCAATCTTGCTGCTGGTGGTAGGTAACTCAGTGGGTTCCACTGTATTACTGGGTTGGCACTGAACATGGTGCAGAACCTGAATCTGTAAGCAGCTGACTTGGTGGGTAGTGCCCACCCATTGAGCCAAACTGGTGCTTGCCCTCCCTGAATGAATCTGAGATGGAGAGTAGGCTGATCAGAAAGCATCTGAAACCATATGTACTGCTTCTATCAGAATTACCGTAACAGTGGTGTATAATCCTGATTGTGGATTTATGGCATCAGGTGATGTCTGTTTCTTCAATTAGAATTAGAAGTGGAAAGGAACAGTCTAGTCTGGCCATCTCATCTAATCCCCATTAGCCAATGCAGGATTGTTCCCGAAATATACTTTTCAGTGTTTTGTCCCGTTTAGTTGTAAATATTTCAAGCGTTGGAGTTTCCATAACTTTGTTTAGGAGATTATTCTGCAGTTTAATGTCAACATGTAAGGCACTCTTAAATTGGTTTGAGTGTGCATATGTGGGTGGCACCAATTTAACTATATCAGTTAAAAAAATATTTTAGTTAAATAAATACAACTTCTCTGTGTAGATTAGGCCTTGGTTAATGACAAGATGCAACTGGTGGAAGAAACAAACTTGACTGTAGAAGGAAGAAGGGGTAACACGAGTGTGTTTTTGTGTAGGCTAGCTGTGTGTTCAATGTAGCTTGCCACCTCTGTAGCCATTCTTATTAGTTATGAGGCCCGCAGATCCATGACATGAGGTACTCTGCTGTATGCAGCCTTGGAGGCAGGCCAGACCTGTCCATCAGAGATATGGGTAGGTGTGGCTTCACCTCTGAGACAGCGCCAGATTTTGTTTACTTATCCAGCTGTAGGCATGCAGACCAGTTCCTCCGTACTGCAGAGCAAACTTGAAGAAGAAGAAGAAGAAGGAAAAAAGGCCTTAAAAACTCCAGATTGTTTGGGTCTGCCTTTATTGGCAGAGAAGAGTACCCTTCTCCTCTGTGCCCCTGCTCACCCATCCAAAGTGCAGCATGGCAGAGAAGGCTAAGAAGAGAGAGAAAGCAGACACTCTGACTCCTGCACTTCCCTTGCTGATTAAGTGCCTGCATGGAGATTTGTGCCTGTTCTGTGGAGACCCAGGCCCCCGTCAAATCCTCAAGCAGGGGCAGGGTTTCTTGCAGCCTCCTTCCCCAAGTAGGAGAGCTCCCAGCAAATAGTGACAGCACCTCAGCAGCAAAATCCTCTGGGTTTGGTACAGGCTTGCAGTGATGTCAGGACCAGCAAGCGGCAGCTCTCCTCCCTCCCGCACAAAACATGGGTGGAGTGTAGGTTGAAGCACAATATCAAAGGGCTGGGGAAGTTTCCTGCCCAGCCACTGGAGCCTGTGCTCACAGCCATGTCTTTTTTTGTTAACCACAGAGCAGCTCCCTGGCACCTCCCTGCAACTGCTGCAACAGCAGGGAGCTACAGACAAGGATCCAGAGACAGAACAAGGAGAGCCTGGTCAGGGGAGCTCAGGCCCAATCCGTCCCTCCATTCTACAGCATGCCAGAGGACAGACATTGAGCAAAAGTGTACTGAGTATTTTGAGTATTGTAAACTACACTTACGAGGTCTGCAGATGTCTCAGATGACCCATAGTTATAAATCCTTCCCCAGGCTCCCTGTGAGTATGTGAGTGTGGAACAGGGATTTTCCTGCTGCACCTAAAGATTGGGAAAGCATCAGGCTGCCCCCCTCAGCTGCCACTGCAGATCACCATGTCAAAACGATTGAGCTGTCATTGCCAGCTGCCTCTGCGAGTCGCCAGGCCCTAATGGTTCTGGTTATTGCTCCCAGGTTGCCATGCCTTGCTTCCACCTCCTTCCCACAGCAAATGGCTAGGGAGGAATGAGAGAGACAGCAGCCCAGACTGGAAAATTGCAAGGCAGTAATGGACCTCTTGGCCGCACCATTTTTCTTTCTTCCTCACACTTCCCTGTGGCCTCCATTTTATAAGGCCAGAAGGTTCCTCAGTGTGCACCAGGCACAATGTATCCTGGCACCATTACCAAAGATAAATGTGCCTTTTTCCCTAGTGGTCAGGGACTTGTCATTTCTAACTGGGAGAGATTTTTACCCGTAAGAGTGGCTTCAAGAAGTAAATCAACTAGCTCAGCATATTCCAGAGTCTGGTTGAGATTTACCCATTGGTACCAGGACAAAGGTCTCAGCCCTACCTTTGCATTGGTTTACCACAGATTCTCAGATTTCTTCACAATGAACTCAAGGTAGGCCTGGCAGCTACAGACACTGAGAGTCAAGTCACTGCTTTGTCAAGAATCCTTAGTGCAATAAACAAGTAGTGAATTTCATCATACCCAGATATCGAGCCTTTTTCTTATGAGAGCAGCATCTCTTCTACATCCTCCTGAAGTGCATGAAGTCTCTTTATGGCCCCCTTCCTTGGTTCTCAGTGCCATTACAGACCCTCAATATGAACCACTCATGAAGCTGTCTCATTACTTTCTAACCACTAAAGTGGCCTTTTTGATAGCAATCTTGTCTGTTTGCCGGGTGCCCCTGAGACGGAAGCTCTTTTCCTGGAACCTCAACACTACATTCCGTAAGGGTAGAGTGGTACTCAGATCCGACCATGCCTTCATACTAAAGATTAACTCCAGACTCCATAGAGCACTGGAAATTGTTCTGCTATCCTTTTGCCCAGTTCCATCACACTCCAAAAAGAAACTGGCATATTCTAGATGTCTTCTAAGCTCTCAAAGAACGTATTCACCACACAGCTCAGGTCAGAAGGACAAAGTCTTTGTTTGTGCTTTATTATCTAGTGTCAAAGGGAAAGACGGTTTCAAAATCCTCTATTTCCAGGTGGCTGA